TCTACTTATTCTTTCCACATAAAAAAAGGATAGCGTGTGTGTTAATTGGTGTCTGTGTATGGTTTTGTGTGTGTGTGTGTGTGTGTGTGTGCGTGTGTGTGTGTTGGCCTGAGATGAACTGGCGACCCTGTCAGGGCTCTCGGCCAGTGACTGCTGGGGACAGACAGCAGCTCCCCATGTGACTCTGCAAGGACAAGCGGGTACAGATGATGGATGCTCATTTCGCCTCCTTCACCTTTATCATTTTGATTCTTTTTCTTTTTTCCCCTCCTAACTTTTTCCAGCAGCCGTCTGCCGTGGGGGGAGATTCATGTGAGGAGATCGGCTGACACTAACCAGTGGAAGGTCACTCCGAGGAGAAACAAAGCCAAAATAAGTGAGTCTTACACACAGACTTATGAAAATACTGGAGAATGTATTTAGAAATGACAACTGAGTTGTTGAATTGCTACTTAAAACACTTAACTACAAATATGCACAATTGGATACATGAGTACGAAACGGTTTGTCTACCAGGAAGAGACGAAAAGGTAGACTGACCTGGTTCAGCGCCCCCTTGAGGACGTGGGGAAAAATGCTCTTTTGCGTTACCGCAATATGCTCACTGCAATAATTGCTGGTCTCTTTTGTATACAAATGTCAGTTTAAAGTTTCAAATATATACACATTTGAAGAGCCTCCGTGAAAATGTTTTTATTATCATCAACTCTTTGGTGCAAAAAACTGATTGAAAATCGATTTATTCACTGCATGTTTATGTCTGTTTGTGTCATGTTGAGATGGAAATGCACGTGAAAACTTTAAACCATTCAGACCAGCACAAAAAGACACAATCAAAACTGTCAGATGATTTTATTACCCTGGCATAATAACTCAGAAACAGTCCAAATAGTTTGGATGTATTTGTTCTTCTTTCCTACTTATGAAGAGTTTCTGTTTATATCTTAGGTTTGTGGTGCATTAACTAAAGAAAAAGATATAAAACTTCAGATATTAGCACATGAAAAAACCTTACATAATAGCAGAAAGTGTGATGGATGTGTGATGACTTTCAGTATTCAACTACGCCGCATGAACTGATCAGTACATTATTGCGAGAATGAAAAGAAAAAAAAAACATCCTCTATGTCCCCTAGGGGGCACCGTAACCTGGAACCTGAGTTCGCAAATAAATGCAAATAAAACCGTTAAACTTCCTCACAGCATTTAAAACACAGATTATTAACCTGACTGACTGTCTTCAGTTTTATTGAAGTCTAAATTATTGTTTGAAAACCAAACAGATGTAGGACATATGTATTATATTTCTATTGACTTTTTTAATTGAAACTGACTCACATCAAGTGGATATGAGTTCAGAATTATTTCAGTCTTTAATATATTTTAGTAAAAAAAAACCCAAAAAACCAAAGATGTGTCAGAATCAGAGGTCAGATCTGGAACGGATGTCATCCGCAATTTTACTGTTGAGAGAAGGCAGAATAGAGATTGACATATTCTTGTACAGTAATCCGACTAGTGATTGGTTTTTTATAACGGAGATCCAATTGGTTTTGAAGAAGACGAGGAGTCTAAAACCTTTCAGGTTCAAACTCTGCCCTCCGTTTATTTTAGCAGGGATTTAACTATCCCATCAAGCCAAGTCATGGCAAACTTTCCTCAAACTTTCAAGAACTCAAAGGAATTTTGCTTGTACGACAAAAACAGGTTTGGAAGTTGTATTACTTTTCAAGGCCGTCACAGAAAACTCCTGCTTCATTATCACAACTGTTGACCAGGAAATGTTTGTCTGTCTCATGA